CTCTCCTTCTCCCTTCTCTCTGCAGAGCTCTTTGGCCCTCTTCTGAGCTCTCAGTTTCTCCCTTTTCCTGTCCTCCCTCATGTGCGGTTCCTTCCAAACCTTGGCCCACCTGCTTCCTCCTGTCCTCACTTCCTCCTCTGTCGCTTCCTTTCCCTCTCCTATTATTCTCTTCTTTCTGTGTCTTTCTTTTTCTCCTCTCCCATTTCCCCCTACCCCCCTTCTCTCTTCTCACCCACTTTTCCCTCTTCCCTCTCTCCAAGCCCCGCCTCCTTCCTCTCTGCATGAGCCAGAGCTCACTTCTGCATGGACCCAGACCTCATGCAAACCTTGGCCTTGCCTGCCGGGAACCGGGTCTAGAATGACAAGACTAACTTTTGGGGTCCCCCCTGGAGATGCAGGCCTTGGCAGTGAGGGCGCTCAGTGAAGGCCCTGGACAGCCCAGCACTCTGGCCACCTTGCCCCGACCGCCCAGACCGCAGAGCCAGATCTCAGCAGGAGCCAGGCTGTGCTTTGCGTGAGGCTGCTGGGCACAAGACAGGGTGGTACCCAGCCCTGCTGGTCTGTACACTCCTGAGCATGGCACAGCCTGGAGCACTGAGTAGCCCCTCTGACTCTGCTCCTAATCTCTGATCGGAGGACCCATGACCAACAGTCAGAGCCCTGGGTAGGGGTCCTGGCTCTGCCTGTGACCATCTCTGTGCCCTTGAACAAGTCTCTCAACTCTAGAGCTGTTTCCCAATTGGAGAAGTGGACAGATGATAGTCCTGCCTTTTGTAGTTTGCTTAGTAGTTTGACATGCCCCGGGCACAGTGGACGCCATCAAGTGTCACGCTGCTTCATTTGAAGATGATGTCGTCTGCTAACGCCTACCCCCAACCGCTGGAACAGGCAGACCCACAGGCTCTGAGCCCTGGGGAGGGAATCACCCCGTCCTCTCCTTACTCCCCTGAACCTAGAGGCTGACTTGGGGAGAAGAAATGCCCCACACCACGGCTTCAAGCAGCTCTGGAAAAAACATAGGAGTGACGGGAGCTGTTGACTCCCAGTGGCAAAATCTGGCGCCTCCGCAGGCCCTCCTCCTCCCAATCCATGGATAATCAGGAGATGGCTCTGACAGACTGTCCCCTCCTCCTCTCCTCTCCCTCTGCCCTTTTCTCGGCCCAGTGGTGGGGAGTGCAGCGTTCAACTGGGCCTGGGGGTGGGGGGCAGGCTCTGGGGGGGTGGGCCTGCCCTGAGGGGAGCTGGCATGGCTTGCCCTAGGGCTGCTAGTGTGATCGCCGTGTGGCTTTCTGGTGCCCTGGCCCAGCAGGTGGCCTCCCGGATCTCCCCGCTTCCGGAGCCCCCGGCCTGCCGTCGGACACCCAGCCCCGCCACCTGCAGCGGAGGAATCCAGTCTTTTGGAAATCGGAAGGCTGGAAAGAAGAGCTGGGTCTGTGGGGGTGGCAGTGGCTGGTCTGGGGTTGTAGGGGAGGCGTGTAAAGAAGCCTGATGCCAGGGTATTTGTCCACATGACCCAGGGGAGGTGGGCAGCAGTGCTCTGGGAGTGCGTGTACTGATCAGTGTTAGGGCTACCGCTCACAGCACTGCAGGGGGTGTGTGTGTACATGTGTGTTTCAGATGAAGGGAATTAATTGCCTCAGGTCCAGCTCACACTAGGGGGGCCTTAGGGAGAGCTGTCCCCCAGCATAGCACCATCCTGCACAGCACAGGGAGAATCTGGGAAGTGGGCTGCTGCCTGTGCCCCACCCCTTGGGACTGGGAGCCTATGTGGGGGCTCTGGAGCTGGAGTGACTGCCCATCCTCGCAGGGTGGTGGGCAAGGTAGCCCCCAGAGGACAACCAGAATTCTCTGAATGTAGGGTGTTAGGATCCTAACGCCACTCTTGCCATAAGGGCACCCACCCTTCTCGGCCTCCTAGGAGTGGAAAGTGGGCCTCACCAGCCTGGCTGGGAGGACCTTCCTGATTCCCCAGATAGTTTCTCTTTCTTCCTTTCTTCACGTGGGTTCCTGATGGGTTAGGGGCTGACCCTAGAGGTTCTGAAAGCCACCCAGTGGCCCCAGTAAGCATCCCCATCATCGCAGTGTCTTGCTGCCGTTCCTGTCACGTGAAGGCTGTGTGCGCTTGTGTTCTGCCCATGTATGTCTGTACATGTCAGAGACAGAGGCCCTGAGAGACAGAATAGGACCAAGAGACTGAGAAAGTCCTAGCATGAAGGGTGGTGACTGGAAGTGGGGAGGCAGGGGTACAGGCCTATTTTTATTATCGGTCAGCCTCTGGGACGTGAGAGGGGGGTGTTCTCTCTCCGACGCTGGCTGTCAGCTTGTGTCCAGGCGCCCCAGCTTGTCCGAGGAACAATGGGGCTCTCTTCTCTCTCCTCTGCCACGCCAGTGTCCCCTCCCATAGAGAACGATGAGAGAGAGGGAACATGGCTCTCAGGCACTCCAGGCAGATCTGGGCTTGCCAAGGGGGACAACAGTGGGACACTGTGTCCAAAGAATGTGAGTGCCCTGCCTGGCCACTGGTGCCATGGGGCACTCTGTGGGGGGAGGGGCTGGCCTCATGGGAGTGGAGCATGGGGTCGTCTCTGTTCTGCAGAGGGAGGCTCTAACCTGAAGCTCCTTAGCTCTCTGGGGGTCTTTTTGCCTCTGATCAGAGTTCACTCCCACATCCCAGTCTGGTGGTGATGGAGAGGGGACTTGAGAAAGGTGCAGCTCACGCCCAGGTGGCTGACTGCTTTGTGCCAGGGTCTCACACCCTCCACAGGGTCTCAGACCCCTCCAGAATCCTGGGCGATTGCAGCCATCAGTGGCCCCTGTGAACATGGCGGATGCTCTGGGCAGGTCAGAGAGAATGTTCTCTGTTCCTCCAGGAGACACAGTGCCTCCAATGGAAACAGACCCATTTTTCAAGGGCAAACATCAGATCCTCAAGAGAGAAACTGGTCACCCCTTGAAAACGCAAAAGAGGTCTGCCAGAAAGAGCTGCCAGGGCTGGGCGGACAGGAACTGAGACCAACCATAATGCATTTATTTTAACCTTGGGGCTGAACTCAGTTCCAAAACCCAAGAGCCTTTCCCGAATGGGCCTCCTCGGTCACAATTATTATTAGAAAATCAATGGCTTTGTCTGTCTATTTCTCTCTAATGTCTTTGCCAGGAATGAAAACAGCAGCAGCACTGGTCCAAACTCCCCCAGAGGCCTGAGTAGGGCAGGCCTGAGTGGGGCTGAGGCCTGGGAGCTTGGGCTTGCTATAGGCTTCCAGCAGGCTGCTCACACCCTCTCAAAACCCACCCTTCCTACTCCAGGGGCTCTTAGTAGCCCCTGGGTGGGACGGATGTGACCCTTTCTTTTCTGGTCTGTGACTAAGGACACATTAAGGCGCGGGGCTTATTTGCTTTAAGTGGAGCTATTTATGAGTGACAGAGTGAAGTCAGAGTCCAGTTTACTGTCACCACCCAGGGCACTATTTTCTCAGCTGAAATGGCAGCAGACCGCCTCTGAGGAATAAAGAACCCACAGTGGAGACTCAAAGCTCCACCTGGGGACTTTCTGCATTTAATTCTCACATGTCGGTCCCTGCTGCTATCCCAATGGGCCCCCCAGATCCCCTGATTATGGGAGAAAATGAGGACGTGTCTTAGAGTGACTGTGCGTGTGCGAGTGTGTCTGTCCCTAGGCTTGGCAGCTGACAGCCTGCTGCTCATGACAAGTAGGAAGACTTCCCAGCTGGCGCTGTTCAGGGTGGCCTTTGTGGCTCTGCCAGGCTGGGGGTGCTGGAGGGCCCCCGCTGCGGATGGTAGAAGTCTGAATGAGGGTGATAGGGTGATTTCTGCTTGGCTGCCCTGACACATTCCCAAGGGCCACTAGAGAGAGCAGACACACACACACACACACACACACACACACACACACACACACACACACACACACAGAGAGAGAGAACATGCATGCACTCACACGTGTGCCATGGGGCAGTGTTCCCAGATGTGCGTTCAGATCTCAGTTCCGTGTGACCTGGGACCTTTGGTAAGTCTTAGTGTTGCTGAAGCCGCAGGGTCGAGAATCTCCTCTCAGAAGATTTTTAGGACCAGGAGCTCACCCTTCAGGCTGGGTCTTGGCCTCTGGGACTCAGGAAGTAAGTTTTCTAGGATTCTGGGAGCCAGCTTGATGAGGCGATGGATTCTGTGTGCCTCAGCCCAGCTGTGGGAAGAGAGAGTGGGAAGGAAGTAGGGTGAGGCTAACAACATCCCCAGGCCTGTGGAATGGGACTGGAATGGGACATGCAGAAAAGCAGATGGAGTGCATAACTTCTCTTTGCCTGCTGTTCAGCTCTGGGGGGCAGGGTGGGATCCTCGGCCATCTTTGGGGAGAGGAAAGGAGGTGGGGAGCTAAGGAGCCAATATAAGGGAAGCTGGTAAGAAGTCCCAGCCATATACTGGATGAAGGCTGGGGAACCCCCAGAGAAGGCCAGGAATATCCCAGGGCTCAACAGGGTCTGGGGACTCCGCAACGAGACTTAGTCATTTCTTTGTTTTCCTTGGGAGTGCCATTTGCAAGATGATGCAACTTAGCTCTTTCCAAGAGTTCTTCCCCACGGGCTTGATGTTGCTGCTCGGTTGATGGAGTTGCCTTGGAGACTGTCTCTTCCCTCCACATCCCCCCACCCTTGTCTGGAAGCTCTGGCCCTCTGCCTCCAGGGGTTGGAAGGAGCTGACATCTGTTTCTCGTATCAGTTCTTTGTGTTCTCCGTCCCAGCCCTGTGTGGAGTAGGTTCCTGGTGAAGATTGAGCCCATCTAAGCAGATCCCTCACCCTGCAGAGAAAACCTGGGGTGTGAGCAGAGTTGGGGGCAGGAGGACTTAGGAGAGGTCCTGGGGGTGACAAGCTGGCCACAGCTCAGCCCCTAAGCTAAAAGGCACTGCCTTCTCTGGGGGGTTAGACTGGATCGATCATTTCTTGCACAAATGCTCATCGCCCTGTGTGCCCTGCATTCCTCCCAGGAGTGCAGGCTCGGGAGAAGCAGCCTGCAGAACCCCCAGCCCCTCTCCGAAGGCGGGCAGCCAGCGATGGACAGTATGAGAACCAGTCTCCAGAATCCACATCCCCCCGTAGTCCCGGGGTTCGCTCCCCCGTCCAGTGTGTTTCCCCTGAGCTGGCTCTTACCATCGCACTCAATCCCGGAGGGCGGCCCAAGGAGGTGAGTCTGTGAGTTGCATCCTGGGACCGCAGAGGACAGTGAGACCCACCTTAAATCTCCAGGAACCTAATGGTCAAGTTGACACTGACGAATTGGTAAACTCAGTCATTTGTTCCTTCTTGCATCTTCACCTAAGCCCTCTTTTCTGGCATATGGAATCTGGGGCCCATTTCCTCCCTTAGATAGCTTTAAGTCTTCACTTCCTACATTAATACTGAGATTGAAATTCCCTTCTTGATTCCTAAAGAGAATCCCTTCATAAGGTTGTACGGATACTGGGGATGCCTTAGGTGACCACAGTCTCTAAACTCCAAACCAGAGTATATAGACTGGCATAAATGTTTTTGAGTCCTTTCCAGATATCAGGGTTTTCTTGGGAGATTTAAATTTTATACCAAAATGTTTGTGTTTCTGAGACCTTTCAGTAGCTGGAGGCAGCGAGTCTCAAATTTCAGTGTGCATGACAATCTCAGAGGAGTTTTTTAAAGCTGTAGGTTCCCAAATCCACCGCCAGGGATCCCAGCATAGTAGATCTGGGACAGGGCCCAGGACTCTGCATTTTAAATGTGTACCCTGGAAGACTGGGATGCAGGTGGTATATGGGCCACATTAAGGGGTACAGTCCTATAAAATTCAGGCATGGTGACTCATGCTTGTAATCCCAGAAATCTTGGGAGGCTGAGGCAGGAGGGTTGCTTGAACCCAGGAGTTCAAGAACGGCCTAGGTAACATAAGATCTTGTCTCTACAGAAACCAAAAAATGACCAGACTTGGTGGTTCGGCCTTTTTTTGGCTTGCTTGTTTTTGTTTTTGTTTTGTTTGTTTTGAGTTGGAGTCTGACTCCGTCATCCAGACTGGAGTGAATCCCAGCACTATGGGAGGCTGAGGCAAGTGGATTGCCTTAGCCTGCGGGTTTGAGATCAGCCCGGGCAACTTGGTGAGTGCGCACCTGTAGTTCCGACTACTTGGAAGGCTGAGGTGGAAGGATTGCTGGAACCCAGCAGGTTGATGCTGGGGTGCCCATGAGCGTGTCATTGGACTCCAACCTGGGGGACAGAGTGAAACTCTAACTAAAAATAAATAAATAAATAAATAAATAAGTTAGCCAGGTGTGGTGCATGTACCTGTAGTCCCAGCTACTTGGGAGGCTGAAGCGGAAGTATCGCCTGAGCCCAGGAGGTTGAAACTGTGGTGAGCCATGATTATGCCACTGCAGTCCAGCCCTCCAGCCTGGGTGACAGAGTAAGACTCTTGACTCAAAAAAAAAAAAAAAAGAAAGAAAGAAAGAAAAGAAAAGAAAAAAGCAGGCTATTCTGAATATAAGTGACTAGGGAACATCTTCTGGTAGAACCCCTCTCCCCTTACCCCAAGCAGCAGCCAGACCGGCAAGGAGATTGATGGGCTAGTTAATTTGCTGTCCCCGTGCCCCAGAGGAAAACCCCTCTTGCTCAGGGACCCCCACTTGCTAACCCTGTGTTCTCCTGCAGCCCCACCTGCACAGCTACAAAGAGGCCTTCGAGGAGATGGAGGGAGCCGCCCCAAGCAGCCCACCACCCAGTGGGGGTAAGAACTTCCTGTGCTTGTCTTCCCTGTGTCCCCTCCAGCCCCTCCTTGCAACCTTACTGTCGTGCCCCAGGTTTGGGAGTGGGGGAGACTGTGCCAGGTGGGTCCACACTCACACATCTAAGAGTGCAACAGCCCCCGTCTTAGGATCTAAACTGCCCGACAGTGGAGTCTTGTTCAGAGTCTTTTTACACTCAACACTCAAAAGAACCTCATCCTAATGTGACTCTTTGTGACTTGACATTGTCCTTGTTTCTGACCCCATTTCTGTCTGCATCCAAGCACCTCTTTCGTTTTAGGCAACCTATTTATCTTTCTCCAAGGAAAGAGGGGCCCAGAACCCTTAGGCTGACAGAGCTCCCAGCTTGTCCATCCTTGGCCTCCAGGGGCATTTAATCTGCAGCCCCCAACACTCACTGGAAAGCCAAAGGACAGAGGCATGTCCACCCAAAGACAAGACCCAAAGGATCTCAGGAGTGGACAGTGTGCCTTTTATAGGAGCAGAGACAAGAAGAGGAACAGGAGGAGGTGGTTATGGGGAAGGAATTGATGGAGCAATACCAGGCTGTGAGGGATTCAGCCTCCGGTCAGCACAGGAGGAGAGACTGGTGGTGTTCAGGGATCAGGTTGTCTGGGCCTGGGCCAAGCTATCTATTTTGCTGGCGAGAGAAGGGGTGGCTGAGGAAGGGAGAACTGGAGCTGGCTGTGCATTCCCCTGGGGGCTGGCCGTCCTGTACTGGAGAGGTATGTGACAACAGTACGGGGCTCAAGTGCCAGCAGAGTTCGTTGGCTGCTTTCTTGGACACGAAGAGGCTAAAGCAGTAACTGACTGGCGGCCCCTGGAAACTGTGACTCTCCCTGGAGCAGCGCTGCCCAGTGGAAATAGATTGTGAGCACATTTGGAATTTAAAACATAATGGGAAACTGGTGCAATTGATTTTAATAATATTTTTATTAAATCCAAAATATCATCATTTCAATAAATACATGTCAACATGAAAATATTGAACTATTTTATCTCTTAAAAATATAGTAAGAGCCTGGTGAAATTGATTTGAAACCGGGCGCGGTGGCTCAAGTGAGAGACCGAGGTGAGACGATTGTCTGAGCCTGTGGGTTCGAGACCAGCCTGGGCAACGTGGTGAGACCTTGTCTCTACAATAAATCAAAAAATTAGCCGGGCGTGGTAGCGCACGTCTGTAGTTCTGGCTACTTGGAAGGCTGAAGAGGAAGGATCACCTGAGCCCAGCAGGGCGAGGCTGTGGTGGCCGGGAGCATTTGCTACTGTACTCTAGCCTGGGCGACAGAGGGAGATTCCAACTCAAAAAAAGAAAGGAGGGAAGGAAGGAAAGAAATTTACATGTGTTGTATTTAACCCCAACCTAAAATATTATCATTTCAACATGTAATCAATATAAACGTTAATGAGATGCTTTGTGTTCCTTCTCATGCTCAGTCAATGAAAGCCGATGTGTGTTTCATACTTCGGCATATCGGTTCACACCGGGCATCCTGCACGTGCTCTGTGGCCACATGTGGCTCGTGGCTGCTGTGCTGGACACCGCAGACCTAGACAGGCTCCTCGAGAGCCGGTTCTGCAGCCTCCTGTGACTTGGTGGAACCTCTCTCCCAGGCCTTAGCCTTCCACCCTGACATGTGCGCCCATTTGCTTTCAGGTCCAAACAGCCGAGGGTTGGACATCACCCTTTTTGGGGTGGGAACCTTCTAGGCTGTGCTAGAATTGGGTGTTACCTTCTTCTCTCCTTTCCTGTGGCCAGCCACGGGCGCCTGGGGGAGAAGGATAAAGTCAGAGGATTCAGAAATCCACAGGGTTGGGGAGAGAAGACAGAAGGCGGAGAGAGAAATGCAAGGAATTTTTCTCTCAGGAAGCAAAAGGCTTGCCCGGCCTCAGTGCCACCCACTCATCTGCGTCAGCAGAAGAGCCAGATTGTGCGGGGAACTGTGGGGACCAGGAATTCGAGAATTGGAGGTGAAGAGGGGAGGAAACCAAGAGAGAACCCCCCCCACCTTCTGTCATCCTCTGTCTCCTTCACCTGCTTTCATGGGCCCACCTGTACCTCTGCTGTGTCCACGAGGCAAAACCACATACTTGTGGGCTGGGACCACTTTGTGGTTATTTTCTGAACTGTAGTCTCTGAGTCTAGGCCCATTTTTTCATACTTAGCTACATTCAACTGTCCATTCGTTTGACACACTTTATTTTTTATTTGTTTTGTATTTTATTTTAAAGGTGTGTGGTCCAATTCAGGGTTAGGTATACACGTGGACATCATACAGGTAAAGCGTGGGCCTCCCTTTGGTCTCCACTTTGCCTGGTTTGAGATCAGGTACCCTTATTGATGCTTTGTTCCCCCCTCACTCCCCCCGCCAACCCTGGCAGTATCCTGCCAATCCCTTTCTTATAGTATTATGGTAAATGTTCAGGGTCTGTTTATGAGTGAGAACATGTGGTACTCAGTTCTTTGTTTCTGGGATAGATCACTGAGCATTATAGACTCTCAGTCCATCGAAGTTGCTGCAAAGTCCATATGCTGGTGTTTGACAAACTTTAATAAGGGCTTGATAAGTGTCTGTGGGCAACACACCATGTTATGAGATGGAGGGTGTGGAGATGGTAGAAACAGGATGTGTGTGTGTGTGTGTGTGTGTGTGTGTGTGTGCAAGTAAAGTGAGGAGGAGGAAAGACAGACATGCAGGCCTGTACCTGGAGGTGTGATGTTTGTACCCATTTGTCCCCATGCCGTATTTGCCCTTTGGACATCTAAAGGCGGGATGAGTGTGGCATGCAGAGGTGTCCCCCCCCATCCAGGCCCCTGTGACATCTTCATTCCTGCGTGCAGGAGGGTATGCACCTACTTCTGCACAAACTGTGTATGTTGCTTGCGTGGAGAGAGTGTATTTTTTCTTTTATTTACTTATTTATTTTTTGAGTTAGTGTTGCACTCCCTCACCCAGGCTGGAGTGCAGTGGCACACTCACAGCCACTGCAGCCTCATCACGCTGGGCTCAGGTGATCCTTCCACCTCAGTCTTCTAAGTAGCCAGAACTACAGGTGTGTGCTACCATGCCCGGCTAATTTTTTGATGTATCGTAGAGGTGAGGTCTCACCAAGTTGCCCAGGCTGGTCTCAAATTCCTGAGCTCAAATAATCCTCTTGCTGTGGCCTCCCAAAGTACTGGGATTACAGGCTTGAGCCACCGTGCCCGGTGTTCACTGTTGTTCATTTCTGGGGTCTCACTGTCTTTTGGGAAAGGCAGGAGGGGCCAGGAGAGTTGTGAAGTCCCGGGCATCCGCGGGCCACAGCTAGTCTGTCTGGGCCACTGGGCAGGCAGGGTGTGTCCCAAGGGCTGCAGCCTCTACAGGCTTCCAGTATCGCTGACAGGAGACACAGAGCTCGTTTTTAACTTCTCCTGAGAGGTGTATTAGGAGACGTGGCAGCTGCTGCCCAGATATCTCGTGACTGGACCTAACAACCACCCTGCAGATCAGCTCAGTGTCTGGCCAGGTCCTTGGCGGATGGGAAAAAGCCCGACAGCCCTTTCTGACCTTGTGTGTTATGTGACACTTGTAACCCAGATGGGCGGCCTGGGAGGAGCCCGAGCTTTGCACAAGGAGTGGGTGCTCTTGGCCACAGACTGTGGGCGTCTTCTCTTTCCAGGACACTGACATTTGGGGGGACAGATCCCCCCACTGAGAGGTTCTTGCCTTCCGGGATGCACAAGGAACATGCTTGGCCGAGGGCCGGCCCAAGGTCTTAGGGCCAGCTTGGCTCTGGCCTGTGATCCGCTCTTCTGTCTCTCTCCTTGCAGGGTGTGCCATCCTCAGGCTCCATTTTGTTCTCCGGAGTCCATCCAAGTGCGTGGTTTAAAAGGACGTGTGTGTGTGTGTGTGTGTGTGTGTGTTGGGGGCTGGGAAAGGGAGAGGACAAGATGAGAGAGAATATGGAGAAAGTGCGAGATGGCTTTAGAGGCCCGTGTATGCTATTAGCCGTGGCAACATAAAGGGATAGTAGCGAGAAGCCCAGGGCCCCGGGTAGAAGTGATTCTCTTGAGACTGGGGCCAGGTCCAGGACAAGGGCGCCACTTCCTGACTCTGTCCATTTATCCTTTGAACTGCTGAGATGTGGAGACACAGAGACAGGAAAGGGCGGTGGAGCCAAAGCCGCGGGGGCTTCGGACTGGTTCCTCGGCTCATCTCCATGGCTCAGCCCTTGCCAAGACGTGCCCTCCCGTGGCATGTCTGCCCTGCTTCCCCCACCCCTCACTCCTCCTGTCTTCCCTCTTCTTCCCGGTACAGTGCGGTCCCCGCCGGGTCTGGCCAAGACACCCCTGTCTGCTCTGGGCTTGAAACCCCACAACCCAGCGGACATCCTGTTGCACCCCACAGGCGGTGAGTGGGGTACAAGGGAGGTGGGGAGGAGGAAGACCAGCAGTGGGAGGACCTCTGCGGTCCTGGGCAGGGACTGAGGCCTTGGGGTCTGGTGGGCAGCTGGCTTTTTGCCATGCTGAGGTCAGGCCTTAGTGGGGGCTTTCTATGTGGGGTTGGGGGTGACAGGTCTCTTTGCAGCCTTCCTGCCTATTGACTTCTGGGGTCTGGGCCACTCCCAGCCTCCTCTGACTGGGGGACTTGGGAGCCTGGTCTCAGTGTCTTTGGAGTCGGTCAGCTCTCTGTCAGAAGCCCAGCTCCCCCAATGTCTCCAGTGTTCAGGCACACACACACACACACACACACACACACGCACACCCACATGTATACATACACACAGCCAGAGAGCACTTCCCTGCTGCTCTGTGCCAGAGCCCCCACTGGCTGCCCAGCTGACTCTGCTCTGAGAATCATGAGACATCACAGACCAGACCACTAGCATTTGGGGGTGTTCTCCCCGTCTGCCTCTTCAGGCCCACAAAACCCTGCCTGAGAAACCCAGGACTCGGCAGTGTTTCTCTCCCCCCTCCGCCCACCATCAGCCATGACCCAGCCCTCTCGCTCTCAGCCCAGGTCTCCCCCTGCCTGTGGAAGGACCTGCCACTCCCCTGCTTCTGACTCTCCCCGGCCTATGCTCAACCTCTGGTCCACATCTCTGAAGCTGGCCATCTCTCACCCTGCTGCTGAGGACAGCAGCTGGAGCTCTGAAGGCTGAGGCGGGAAGGAGGACTGTCACTCAGACTCCCTGGGGTCAGATAGCCCATCCCAGTGACTGGAGGGCCTGGCAGAGAAGGTCTTCTTCCTTTGAGTGATGCCACCTGAGGTTCACACTCTGACTTCCTTCTTCCATTTCCCAGCTGCTCTCCTTCCTATGTGGGCGTCTTTGGGCTCTTAATGGTAGTTTGGAACTGGCTGAGCCCAGAATGTGCTCTCTAGACTCTGGTTTTAAGGCTGCGTGGGGGTTCTTGGGGTCAACTTTCCTTTTTTTTTCTTAGTCACCAGAAGACTGATCCTGCCAGGTAGGAGAGCAATGGCATGCCCTTGTGACCCACAAAGACCTATGGCCTGGGCACAGCCTCCCATCGGGAGAGTCCGCATGGTCAGAGACAATGAGTCACCCGGGAGTTAGCTGGATGGGGTTGGGGCCTGTCTCTCACCAGCCACCACACTGCTGCTTGAGACTCGGCCCACGCCAGCCCTGGGCACGGGTTGCAAGGGGGTCAGGCTGGTCTAATAGTGCCCTGGAGCCCTGAACTCCTGTGCAGAGTGGACCTCGGCCCTCCCCTTGGGGCCCTGGCCACACCCCAGCTTTTCCATGTCTCTTTTCTCAGCAAATTCTCTTTCTCAAGAAATAATCCCTGTTAATCAATCTCTCTGTTTCTCTCTCTCTCTCTCCTTTTCACTCTTCCTCTCCTTTTCATCACCTGCCCCTGCTTCCTGCCTCTCCTTCTTCCCACCTCTCTTCTCATCTTCCCTCAGAGGAAGACGAGAGGAAGGTGGCGGTCAAGCTTTCTGAAGGTAAGTGCAGGCTTGCTGTGGCCTTCTGCTCTCTGGGCCTGGACATGGCTTTTTAGGTGGAGCTTGAAGAGGCTGGCTCAGGCAGCTCTCTTTCCTGACCTGGTCTCAGGTGACTGAGCACATAGCCTTCCTGTCCCCACCTCTGGCGATGAGATATCACCCTGGGCACCGCCTGAGTCCTGACTGGGGAGCTTGAGGTGGCTGGGCATGGGTTCAGGCACAGCCTGTGTCCGGGTGCTGCTATGGTGCCTCCTTGTTGACAAAGCGTCCCTCCTGCCTCAACCTCTCCCAGTGTCACTTGTGCCAGCCTGCCTTGCATGCAGCCACACACAGGGGTAAACTGGGAGGGACTCGTGTCCCCTTTGCCGGGCATGCTGCACATGTGTATCTTGGAACAGGGAATCTCCACCTCGACACCACTGATATTTCAACCTGAATAATTCTTTATTGTGGGGATGGCACTGTGCCCTGTAGGATGTTTAGTGACATCCCTAGGACGTCCCTAGACTTTATCTGCTAGATGCCAGTGGCCATCGAAAATGACATGACTATCGAAATTTCATGACCATCGAAAATGTCTCCAACATTGCCAGTGTCCTCTGTGGGGAAATTGCTCTGGGTTCAGAGACACCATTTTAGCGCTACAATTTACCCTCTTGAAGCCTCTGCCTGGTTTCATATCAACACAGAAAGTACCAAGACTGTCTTCCTGGAATCTTGGGCACCTTTGGGGATTTCAGGAAATCTCTGGACTCACCCCCTACAAAAATGCATCAGGACGCCCATGCGCATAACTGGAAAAACAGTTACAAAGAGCTGACATGTCTATGGTTGCAGTTGAACCCCTGAGGTAGATGAACCCTGCATTGGGTACTGGAAAAACAGAAAGGGGCCGTAGTTGGATAGAAGACCTTGGATTCACTAGGAACAGAACCGGGCTGAGGACTCAAAGCAGCAGATGAAACAAACCATATGCTGGGAGGCCAGTGTGTGGTTCTGGGCACCAGTGTCCCCATTTCTTTTTCTTTCTTTTTTGGGATTGAAGTCTCACTCTGTCATCCAGGCTGGATCGCAGTGGCACGCTCACGGCCACCACAGCCTTGACCTGCTGGGCTCAGGCGATCCTTCCCCCTCAACCTTCCTAGTAGAATCTGCCCATTTCTAACCAGCCAGAGCTTGGGCAACAATATCAGGCTGCCTGGGGGCTGCAGAACAAGGCAGGTTCCAGCAACAGGTCTAGAATGGGTGGGCCGCGGCAGCCTCCCGACTGCTGGGAACGGCACCCCTCCTGTTCTTCTGCAGCCTCATACCTGGCGAAGGGCTTTCTCCCAGACTGGAGGCTTGACTACTGGTTCCCAACAGGGCAGTAGAGCTGGGAGGGGGAGTTTAGAATAAGCTGGTGGCCAGAGCTAGCAGGTTCTGGTGTTTCAGATGCCAGCCCACGCAGGGGGCAGGCCATGCAGTAGGCTCTCAGCTCTCCTCATGTTGTCTGGCTCAAAAAGACTGCTGGGATCTCAAACACTCTCTAGCAAGAAGGTCCAAGGGGTGAAGTATCCCACAGACTGACAGGCCCTGGTGATTGTCTCCCACTTTGGGGTGACTTCAGAGGCGCGGGTATCAACAAAACTGAACTGAGACCTGCCAATCGTGCCTCACAGATGACTCTCAGCTTACAGGGTGCCGAGTCCTCTAGCCCGAGCCACAGCGTTTGGAGGGCAAGGTTGTTAGGGATCAGCTCAGCCACACCCTTTGTCACAGATATGCAGCTCGTGGTGGGTGGGGGCGGGGGATCTGCCCAAGGTCACAGTTAGGAGGCATCAGAGTCAGCCAACTGGAGTTGCTGGTCTTTTGTCCATTAGTCAAGTGGCCATTTCAAAGCCCTTCTCCTGCCTCCAGGAGCCATGCCCTGGGATTCCAGCGTGGGAGTCGGAATTGCGGCAGTGGCCTGGAGAGTGGGGTGGAGCAGAGCAGGGAGCAGGGCTGTGGGCAGCTGGTTTCTTTTTTATTTTTTTGGAGTCTCACTCCGTCGCCCAGACTGGAGTGCAGTGGCCGCTCCCGGCCACCGCAGCCTTGACCTGCTGGGCTCCGACGATCCATCCACCTCAGCCTTCCAAGTAGCTGGAACTAGAGGTGTGCGCTACCATGCCCGGCTCATTTTGATTTTTATTATAGAGATGATGTCTCACCAAGTTGCCCAGGTGGGTCTCGAACCCGCAGGCTCAGGCAATCCACTCACCTCAGCCTCCCAAAGGCGTGGGATTACAGGCTGAGCCACCGAGCCCAGCTGCAGCTGGTTCCTTATTCCTTTCTGATGGACCATCCTCCGGGTCAGACTGAAATACATCCTTTGCTGACCCGCTAAAGCTCTGCTTGATTTTCTTGATGATACTTTGATGGGAAATTCAGAAAGAGTTGCCTGTGAGGTAAAATGACTAGAAGCAAGATTATTCAGCTGGGGGAGAAGAAGAATGTGAGAGATGTCTGCTCTGTCCGGGACCCTGTCCGTTCATTCTCTCATTCATTGCTGCATTTATTCATTTATATTTTTTGTGGCTACTGTGTGCCAGGCAGTGTGTCAGGCTCTGGGGATGTAAAGATGCCAACAGACATTTCAACATAAGATGCAAGGCCTGAACAGGGGCAGGAACAGGGTGTCATGGGGGCTCTTAGGAGGGACATGTGGCCCCATCTAATTTCTTTGGGGGCCGGGTGCGGTGGCTCATGCCTCTAATCCCAGCACTTTGGGAGGCTGAGGTGAGAAGATTGTCTGAGTCCAAGGGTTTGAGACCAACCCGTGCAATTTGGTGGGACCTCATCGCTACGATAAATCAAGAAAAATTAGCTGGGTGTGGTTGTGTGCACCTGTAGTCCCAGCTACTTGGAAGGCTGAAGTGGAAGGACCACCTGAGCCCAGCAGGCCGAGGCTGCGGTGGCCGGGAGCAGCGTGCCACTGCACTCCAGCCTGGGGGACAGAGTGAGACTCCGACTCAAAAATAAATAAATAAATAAATAAAAGCTTGGGGATTCTAACATTTGAACTCCTGGACCTGGGACCCTGAGGCTTCCACGGATCCTTCCTTCTCCCCCACCCACATGTCTTCATGTTACTTAAGGTGGGCGGGCCCCTTCCCTCCAGGCAAAGAGCCTTTTCTGGGAGGCAGAAAATGCACTTCAGGGTGTGGATGAAGAGCTGACAGTGCACAGAGCTGGAGGAGGCGAAGTCAGCCTTGGGCTGCAGCTGCTCTCAACGGCCAGCAGCCACTTGGCCTGGGTCTGGCCTCCTGGAATGTTCTGCATGTAGCACCCTCCCCAGCCCCACCTCTCCCGCCCTTCCCAACTCCCATAGCCTCTGGGTGCAGCTGCTCCATGATTGGAGGAGAGGGGGAAAACGGCAGAAGAGAGGGTGCAAGCGAGGAGTGGAGGGAGGCAGGAACGGGCAGCCAGGGCACAGGCAGGCAGCCATGGGGCTGGTTCTGAACGCTGGGACTGGGACTGGCAAGAAAGCATTAGGAGGAACTTTCCTGTCTCTTCTCGCCTGATCCTAGCTGGGCAGGTGGGCATTCTCATCTCCACTTTACAGATGAGGAAACTGAGTCCCAGAAAGGCTCTAGTAAGTGAACGGAAGGGAGGGGGAGCCCACAAGGGTCTAAGTATATTGTTCTGAAGTGGGGAGGAGAGAAAAAGGTGAGGAATAGACAACAGATCTGAGTCTTAGAGCTTGGGGAGGCTGATTTTGGGTCCCCCAAACTGGTTTTAAACAGTTATGGGGAGGAACTTAGGAAATCAAATAACTTCAAATGACTCCAAAGGGCCCTCCTGCTCTGGGTTCACGAAGAGCGGAATTGCATGGATGGGCCTCATCTCCTGATCTGGGACTGGAGGAGCAGACTGGGTGGCAGTTGGCAGGCAGACAAGCTGGCCTAGGAAGTGACTGTGGTGGGAGAGGAGAAAAGACGTGGGGACCAGGTGAGGACAGGCCCAGCAGGGATTGTGTCTCTGGGTCGCCTTGGCTAGGTTGGTCACCCAACACACAAGGGCTATTTTCTGACATCATGGTGAGAACGGATGCTGCTGCTTCTCCCTGGGTAAGCGGTCCTGACCCCCAAGTTCAGACTCCTAGTCCTGTAAGAGTCCTGCTGTTCTGTTATTTTAGGAGCTGAAGGGACTGGGGAAGGGGCCAGTGGGGCTGCCTTAAGAACTTGGCCATCCTATGGAACCATCTCAGGGCTTTTCCTGTCGGTCCTCTTTGCAGGTTTACCGTCAGATTCCCAGTCTTCAGCTCAGGTTCCTGTGTTTAGGCCAGAGGCAGTTAGTAGGTACCCAACCTTGTCTAATGAGATAGGCCAGATGGGAGTCAGCATCCATGGGTCCCAGGCTTGACTGTGTCCTAACTATGGGCTGGGGTAGTGTGGCTCGCCTTTTCTCAGTTTCACTGTTGGTAGAAGGGGGTACCTGTACTTTTTATCATTATTATTTTTTTGAGTTGGAGTCTCACTCTGTCACCCAGACTGGAGTGCAATGGCCACTCCTGGCCACCACAGCCTCGACCTGCTGGACTCTGGCGATCCTTCCGCCTCAGCCTTCCACGTAGCTGGAACTACAGGCGTGCATGACCACGCCCAGCTAATTTTTTGATTTATAGTAGAGATGAGGTCTCTCCAAGTTGCCTGGGCAGATCTTGAACCCGCGGGCTCAGGCAATCCACTCACCTCAGCCTCCCAAAGTGCTGGGATTATAGGCTGAGCCACTGAGCCCAGCCATCTGTACTTTTTTAAGGAGCAAGGCATAAGGCAATGTGAATTGCTTACTCAGTGTGTAGATCAGGACCTAGTGGGAAACTGATGACTTGTCCTAATGGAGCTGCCAAGAAGTCATAGTTTTGGAGGGTTTTTTTGAGTCGGGGTCTCACTCTCACCCAGGTTGAGTACAGTGGGGCAATCATGGCTCACTGCAGCTTCCTGGGCTCTGGTAATCCTTCTGCTTCAGCCTCCCAAATAGCTGAGACTATAGGCATGTACTACCACGCTTGGCTAATTTTTAAATCTTTTATAGAAATGAGGTCTTGCTATGTTGGTCTTGAATTCCAGGTGTGGAGAGTTTAGTGGGGTGTTAAAAGGGCTGGGAAGAACAATAAAGGATGGTAAAGCACTCTGTGTGCTTCCTAGCAGGAGTAGGGAGCCATCACACTCCAGGCTTTTGAAGGAACAAGGAGAGCTGGTGGAGAGGGTGGGTAGAGGGATGTGACCACTGGCACCTTAACCTCTTCCTCCTCCTCATCTCCTGCCAGTTTCCCCTACCAACCAAAGGCCAAAGCTACTTGTAGCCATGGGTCAACTGTGTCTGGGATGCAGTAGGTAAAAGTTGGCCCCCAGGGACACAGGTCAGGTTAGAGGATGGATTAGGAGGACGTCAGCGGGCTGGAGAAGAGCACAGGCCTTCATGGTGTCATCCATGTAGGTTTCAACTTGAACTCTAGGGAATGAGAAAAATGATCATGTGCCTCTCAGGTCTTACTTATTACGTGCCTGTGTATGGATAGGGCTGGAGGATAAGGGCCGAGAATTTGTTGCTTTCTGGGACAGATGCCCAGGGGGCATCTACTGTGAGCCAGGTGTTGGACAAGGGCTGGGAACGCAGATCAGCCAGGCAGTCTGGGAGCCCACAGGCGGCCGGGAAGTGGTGGATCCTCCTTGCCATCCCTGGGTGGGAGATAAGGTATGCCGAGTGCCGCGTGTACCCTGGTGAAGCCACATGGAGCACCTGGAAGGGTCCAGGAAGAGTTTTCAGAGGGTCACCCGGGGCAGCAAGGGATGGGAGGGAAGTGAGGTCTTGGGTGTTGTTTACGTGGGTGAAGCTCTCCCTGATGGTCCCTTCTCCCAAGCTGGGTTACACCACCGCCCAGCTCCCCAAGACTAAAGACACACATTGAAACTATCGGCTCTCCCATTTTCAGATGGTTGTTTGCATAGGTGCAATGGGTAAGGGCAGATCTGGGCCAGACTGCCTGGGTTCCTCAACCTACTCTGCCACTTGCTAGCTGTGACCTGGGCAAGGTACTTACATCCGCCAAATCCTACTTTCCTCACATAATTGCTCTTTTTTTGTCAGAGTCTCACTTTGTCACCCTGGCTGGAGTGCAGTGGCACTCTGACAGCCACTGCAGCCTCGACCTGCTGGTCAGGTGATCCTTCTGCCTCAGCCCTCCAAGTAGCTGGAAATACAAGCATGCGCCACCATGCCTGGCTACTTTTTTGATTTATTGTAGAGATGAGGTCTTGCCAAGTTGCCCAGGCTGATCTCAAATCTCTGGGCTCAGGCAGACCTCTCACCTCGGCCTCCCAAAGTGCTAGGATTATAGGTGTGAGCCATTGCACCTGGCCTGTTTGCTCTTTTAATCATTATGAATAGCCCTATGGAGTTGGGTCTTCTTTGGCTAGTGGGCTGGAGTGCTGGGTAGAGCTGGCCCTGGGTGTCTTTGGGCCCTCTCTAGGCCACCCAGAGCCAGCAACCTCAAGACCATGGTGCCAGTATCCATAGCCAGTGATTGGCTGTGAGCTCTGGGGAACATTGCCTTACCTCTCTGGGTTGGGCAGACGGGTTAGATCAGGAGTCAGCAAACTATGGCAGCTGGTCAAATCCTACCCACCGACTATTTCTGTAAAGAAAGTTTGATTTGTGTCCTAACCATCCCCATTCACCGAGCTATTGTCTATGTATACATTTGTGCTAAAACAGAGTTGTGTAGTTGTGACAAAGACAGCCTAACTCACCAAGCCTAAAGCATTTACTATCAGGTCTTTACAAAAAAAAGTGCCATGGCCTAGTCAGAGGATCCTGCACTGTCCTCTAGTTCCAGCAGGTCCTTGTGTGTGAATGGCACAGCATCCGTGTCTTCAATGTGGTTTGGCCTGGGCTGGTCGAGGGAGGTGTCCCAGGAGGCCTTGCTGGCTCTGCCCACATGGATTCCAGCTTTGGGTGCCAAGGTGGCTGCTTCTGTAACACCCTGTGCCTGGTACCCAAAACAGACCATCCACACTGGCTCCTTTGTGGACACGTTTCCCCATCTTTGTCTACAGTCACTGATGTGGGGTGTGGGGGTGTTCTGAGTGGAAGTAAAAGACAGATTGGTAGGCTCAGGCTGGCGCTCACACAGACCCTGCAGCAGCCTCCAGGACCCACTCTGTAGAGGGCCTTGTGTTGAAGGAGTGTCCTCTTCCAGTGTCTAGGGAGGCTTCTGGCCTGGGTGTAGAATGTCAGGCCCAGGGGTTACCCCAGAAGCATGCCCTGGTGTCTGTGCTCTAATGCAGTGAAGGCCCGAAGCACACCATGATATTTGGTGACAAGGCTCCTTCCAAATTGAGGTTTTCTTTGGGCTAAGGGGAAGGAGTTTTCATTTAAGCTGGTTGGACCCCAGACCTCTCACCCATGAAGGACCTGTACGGGGGGGGCTTTTCTTCAACTCAGTGACCATCACAGCCCTGGCCAGCAAGGGTTCCAGGGGTCTGGGCTCCCTGGGGCTGCACAGACTCTGGCTCTTCAGTTTCTCAGGCCGGTTTCAGTAGACGCCCTAGTTGTGGGCAGAGTATGGGTCTGTGCCCAGGCCAGGTGCCACCCTTTGGGTGAGAAAGGGACAATGCCAGGTTTGGAGGTGGTAGGAATGCCATCCTTCTGGATTGAGTCCCTGGGGAAATCGTGAGTGCCCTCCTGCTTCTTCCTGCTTAATATGGGTTAGCTGGGGGGCTGTGCTCAGAGGCCATCGGAGAGTCAGGCAGTTGGGATCCCGGCTGTGTTGTTTCTCTCGCCGGGCTTCAGTGTCCTTGTCTGTACAATGACCTTTCTGGCACTTGCCCTCCACCCATCCTCCTAGGCTATTTTGAGCACAAGGTAGGGTAAAGGACATAAAGGTCCTCTGTAGACTGCTCAGTGCTACAGAAATGCCAGAGGTGGGCGATGGAATGTCTAGTTCCACAGAGAATGGGGCTCACTGATGTAAGTCCCCGGAGGAATGCTGAGTGTGTCAGGCAGAGTGGGATGGGTGTGTCTTGGCAGCGAAGGGGCTAGGTGAGCAAGCCTGTTTCTGGATTCTGGGCGTGGGGTGGAGCTTGTGTGAACCGTGGAGCTGTCCCAAGATATGGACAAGGAAGGGCTGGAGTGTGGTCCACTGCAGAGCCCCAGGTTTGAGCAGTGCCCAGGAATCTGGATGGGCCTAGGTAACAGATTCATTGATGAGAAGGGGTTGCCAACTGTGGACAAACATCCTAGTCCTTGCGGGAAGATTTCCCCATGGCCAAGTGCAGAGATAGAGCCTGGGGTCCATTTTTGGGAAGCTCCTCTCAACAGGACCTTGGTTAAAGGTTGCTGTGGAGGGTGTGTCCAGGCAGGCAGGAGCCCCAGGACAGGTGGTCATTGTGTCCCTTTGGGTTGTTCCATGCTCCCTTCCCCCAGGCAGGAGTCTGGGAGGCTAGGGTCCCGTACAGGTTGGGTGGGCTCCGCACTGCATCCTGTGGTTTTGTGCTCAGAGTCTCTGTTCTCTTACCCCTTCCAGAGCCCCGGAGCTACGTGGAGTCTGTGGCACGGACAGCGGTGGCTGGGCCCCGAGCTCAGGACCCTGAGCCCAAGAGCTTTAGCACCCCGGCTGCCCAGGCCTATGGTCATGAGACACCTCTGAGAAACGGGGCCCTGGGGGGCTCCTTCGTCTCTCCCAGCCCCCTCTCCACAAGCAGCCCTATCCTCAGTGCTGACAGGTAAGCCTCAAGGGGCAGCTGGTGGGGGTGAGAATCCAGGCCTGGGACGGGATGGGTGAAGCCTCTTGGATCTGCCCAGGGTGTAGATGGGCAGAAGTCACATCCAGATTGTGACCCTTACTTCATTAGGGTGTGTTGAGAGAGTGCCCTCTGATGCTGGCTCCTGTGGGGGCCCAGGAGAGTGAGCTGTAATTCCCAGGTTGTTTCCGACCCTACCCATCCAAGACTGTGAGGGAGTCTTTCCCTCAAGGGGAAAATCTACTGACAGTCACGACTCGTATGTTGTGGGTACTTCCTAGGTACCAGGCACTTTGCTAAGCACTGTGTACAGTTATTTAATCCTCGCAGCAATTATAGGAGGTATGCACTATTATTGCTGCCTCTTTTCGGAAGAGAAAACTGAGGCACAGAGGTGAAACAGCTTGCTCAAGTTCTCGCAGCTGACTTGCCCCAGACCTGCGTTATGGCGCCTGCCCTCCACAGGATGAGAGTCAGATTCCCAACGCCCAGAAGTGATCGAAGGGCCTGGAGCTCAGAGCAAGGGGCCATTATTTCTGGCTAGGGATGCAGAGAGGACTTCTGAGGTCTGGAAGAACTTGGGGGAGGTCCAGAGGGACGAGCAGGGCGTTGAAGGGTGAGGAAGGAGGGAGAGGGCATTCCAGAAGAACAGCCCAAAGGGAGAGAAGACGGGAGTGTGGCTGTGGTGGCAGTGTGGGGCTGAGGCACGTGGCCTGCCCGCGAGGGGTGCTTCAGTGGATGTATAGCTGATATCCATCTGTCTGAATGCGTTGGACAGACAGGAGAGTCCAGAGTTGGGCAGGGGAGGGTGGATGGTCCCTGCTGACAGGCCCGGTCTAGGGAGGGCCCTGTGTTTGGGGTGCAGAGAGAAGCTCTTGCTGGGGTGCTGGGGTGATGGCTTGTGAATGGAGAAGGAAGGTGACGGAGGAAAGGGGGGCTGACATTATCTCAGGCAAGGCAGGCAGGGGAGAAGCACCCAGTGAGCCTGCGAGCGTAGGAACTCACCCCCGGGAGGGAGGGTTGGCCCTGACCATCCCTTCCTCCCCATGCCCTCTCCCCTTTCTAGCCTGCTGCCTCACAGGGCTTGCAAACTCTCAGCCAGGCCCATGAGCCAAGTTTGCTGCGGAGCCTACATTGGCTCAGCCTTGAACCCTTTCCCAGTTGGGTGGGGGACTGGGGGAGCTGAGGACCAGAGGCTTTCCTCTGGACTCAAAGAATTCTGAAACTCCACGCCAAGCATCTGCCCGTCCCCAAGTCCGCCTCACTCCCCCTACCCCCAACCTCTTGACCGGGCAGCAGGCCACATTGCTCAGGCAGTCTGACTGGCAGAGGGCAGGTTCCCTGTTTCAAGGGAAGGGGGATTTTCCTAACTCGGCCCGGCTACTCGTTGCTGACATTCAGTGAGCCCTGGTGTAGGAAGTGGTTCATTGTTTCTTACCCAAGTTCCTTCTGCTGTGGTGCAGGCCCTTTCCAGGAAGCTAGTGTTTCTCCTTCGGCATGAATCTTCCAGAACCACATCTCAGCGTCCCCCTCCCTGGTTTTATCTCCCAATCCTCAGAATCCAGTTTGTTCTGCACGAGGAAACGGCCTTCTGCTGTGGCCCCTTCTGGGATGCCAGGAAGACTTTGTCCTGGCCTGGCCCCTGCCCTTCTCCCCGCCCTTGGCTCTTGCCTGGCCCAAGAGTATACCCCCACCAAATCTCACATCACTCAGGGGACCCGGCCAGCCAGCCACCAGCCTCCTTCCGCCTGCAGCTCCAGACTCTGGCCCATTGGCTATGTGAGGGCCCTGCCTTGGAGGCTTCTGGTGCACAGCCTGTCTGCTGCTCCCCTGCAGCTGCTGGTGAATGCAAGCTTCCTGATAGCCTCTGTCTCTCCTGCCATATTGCAGATGGATAGAAGTCTGGGTCTGGAAGGACCAGCCCCCTCCTACTCATTTTCCACATGGAAAAATTTTAACAAGCAAATTCCAGATTGCCCAACTCACTGGCCGTTGCATTCTAGTGTTGTACGCCCATATTTCACTCTGCATGGACTTGGACTTCACTTTACAGGGGAACCTTTGACTGTGGCTATTGTCTCAGGTATCGTCCCCTCTGAAATGAATTTTTTTAGAGTTTGAGAATTGGAAAAGTCCTCTCACCTCATTTAGTCTAACCTCCCAGTAGAGGAAATTCTCTCCACAGCATTCAGGCCAGTAGATCTGTCAGCCTCTGCTTAAGTGCTCCTGTTGATGAGAGCCTTGTGTCCATGCAAGGCAGCTTGCTCCATGGGTGGCCAGAGCCAGTGGCTGGAGAGCAGACCTTCTAATGAGTGGAAATTCCCTTATTTGAAACATATCCCCATGACTCTTTGTCTTGTTCTTTTGAAGCCACTCGGAGTGAGAGCCCAATTCTAGCACTCAGTGTTTAAGGATGATACCATACCTGAGGAAACTGAGTCAAGGTAGGGCAATTCCCAGTGGGAACAGGAGCCAGGAAACTCCGGTCAGGGTTTCTGTGGTGCTGAAGGCTACCACAGGACAGCCACTCTCAGTTTCGATAGGAGAGACCTCTTGGCTTTGATGTGGTCACCCTGGTGCGGTGGAGAATCCGTGGGCTTTGGAATCAGACACAGCTGAGTTGAAACCTTGGTCTTTTCTGAGCAGTGTGGTCCAGAGCCTACTGCTCACCTCTCTGAGCCTCAGTTTCTTCTTCTGATGTTTCAATGGGATAATGAGTAAAAGCCCTGGCATTCTAGTGGAGCTGTTCTTGTTGTTACTAATGGTTGGAGTTGGGGCTGAGTGCCGCTGAGAACCCCCACTTGGTTCAATGCCGTCGCTGACATCTCAACCTGCCGTCTCTCCCTAGCACTTCAGTGGGGAGTTTCCCATCCGGGGAGAGCAGCGACCAGGGTCCCCGGACACCCACTCAGCCTTTGTTGGAGTCTGGCTTCCACACCGGCAGCCTGGGCCAGCCCAGCCCTTCGGCCCAGAGAATCTACCAGAGCTCTTCCCCTCTCCCGACTGTGGGCAGCAGCTACAGCAGTCCCGACTACTCACTTCATCAACTCAGCTCCTCTCCAGAGAGCCAGGCCCGGTCTCAGTTCAGCGTGGCCAGCATCCACATGGTGCCCGGGAGCCCTCAGGCACGCCACAGGACAGTGGGTACCAACACTCCCCCTAGTCCTGGCTTCGGCCGGCGGGCCATCAACCCCGGCATGGCAGCCCCCAGCAGTCCCAGTTTGAGCCATCGTCAGGTGATGGGTCCGCCAGGCACTGGTTTCCATGGTAACATGGTCTCCAGCCCCCAGAGCGGTGCAGTGACCACTCCAGGGAGCCCCAGCCTGGGCCGGCACCCAGCAGGGGCTCACCAGGTTTCCAGCCTCCACAGTAATGTGGCCACCACCCCGGGGAGTCCCAGCCTAGGCCGGCACCCTGGGGCCCACCAAGGCAGCCTGGCTTCTGGTCTCCACGGCAATGCAGTAGCCAGCCCTGGAAGCCCCAGCCTGGGCCGTCACCTGGGAGGATCTGGATCTGTGGTTCCTGGCAGCCCCAGCTTGGACCGGCATGTGGCCTATGGTGGCTACTCCACCCCTGAGGACCGGAGACCCACGCTGTCCCGGCAGAGCAGTGCCTCTGGCTACCAGGCTCCTTCCACGCCCTCCTTCCCCGTCTCCCCCGCCTATTACCCCGGCCTGAGCAGCCCCGCCACCTCCCCTTCACCGGACTCAGCCGCCTTCCGGCAAGGGAGCCCAACGCCAGCCTTGCCAGAGAAACGGAGGATGTCCGTGGGAGACCGAGCTGGCAGCCTCCCAAACTACGCCACCATCAATGGGAAGGTGTCCTCACCTGTCGCCAGTGGCATGTCCAGTCCCAGTGGCGGCAGCACCGTCTCCTTCTCCCACACTCTACCCGACTTTTCCAAGTACTCCATGCCAGGTGGGTTTGTCTCTCCTTCCGTTTTCACCTCTCCTGCTGGCAAATTACGTTCAAAGGATATTTGTCCCGGTCTCTGTTCTGACATTCTCTTGGCAGATGACCTCGGGTGTATCTGACTTCTGGGCCTCTGTTTTCTTATCTATATAATGGGAGTTGAAGGTGTCCTCAAAATAAGCATGCTCTGGTCATGGGTGCTGAGATGAGGATGTGGATATGGATGCAGATGATATAAATAAAGATATGAATAATATTACTGGTATGATTATCATCACCATAGTAGCCACATGCTGTGTGCTAGGCACTGAGCTAAGTACTGTCTCATATAAACCTCATGGCCACTTGGTGAAGTAAGTATTATTGCCACCATTTTACAACCAGAGGCTTACAGAGGCTCTCTCACTTGTTCAGTGTCATGTGGTTAATAAGTGGCAGAGCCAGGCTTCCAATCTAGACCCGTGCTATCCCAAGGCTCCAGCTCCTAGCGTCATTGGAGCTGCCTCTGTCATGTGTCCGTGTCTCGTGATTTAGCAAAACTTATCTCCTAAACCTGGGCCGCCATACCTTTTGCCAGTGCCCCAGTGCCACGCCACTCCTAATAGACCTGCTGGCCATGCATGACATGGGCCAAGGCCAGGGGTTGGGTTGGGTGTTTTCACTGGAATCTAGGTACCATCGACCTGGCTTCATTGAAGTCCATGCAGGCTTGTGCAGTGAATTCTTCACCCATCACCAGAACTTGGCGTTTCCACCTTCACTTAGAGAGCTCATTATCTAAACACAAAGATCAAGGCCTCAGCTGACCTCCAGCCTGACTGTGTGCAGAACGGCCCTGGGTGTTTGAAGCAGATGTTAGAATGTTTCAGTAGCCTGGGATGGGCTCCAGCTGCCTGGATTCTCTCTCTGTCACTCCCAGGTCCTGCCCTGAGCCCACCAAGCCGGGACACCTAGAGTGACCCTCACCCCCTGTTTCCTGCCGCCCACTGGGGACATCTGGTTCCCAGCCCCTCTCCTTGAAGCAGGCAAAACTTCTAGTAGTTGGGACACTTCCTGTTTCCCACCATCTTCCCTGCTTAAAATAGCCTTTGGAATCAACACAGGAAGGCACATGGGACTGCAGCCGCCTCTGACAGCTCGTTAAACAGGTCACTGCAGCAGCAGGGCCTGGGGCTCCAGACAGAGGCAGCTTAGGCAGTCTCATGGCCCAGCTGCCTAACCCAGAGGCCTTATTCAGTGCACAGCTGCCAGGAAAGGGAGCTGACCTCTCCCCTCACAGTCCTCCAGAGACAGATCCCAGAAGCCTAAGGAGTGTAAGTCACCAGTTGAGATGGACTATGCCCTGGAGAGGCAAATCCGTGTCTCCTGATCTGCTCCCCTAATGTTTCAGCATCCTTAGTGCAGGCTTTTGTCTCTGAAGGCAGAGAAAAAAGTGAAATTAGAGTATTCTTTTTTTTCTTTTCCTCCTCTTCTTCCTCCACCCCCCTTCCTTTTTGTTTCCTTTGGTGCCAAAAGATGAAGGAAGAGGTTGGAGATTGAGGCCCCCACATTCTAATACCTAGATGGGGAGATACAGTTTAGCTGGTGCTGAACTGACTGTCAGGCCCTCTTACCTGAGAAGGCCTTCCTGGTTCCCGTCTGTGTGACTCAGGTCAGGTCTCCTCTCTGAACCTCTCCTTATTTGTAAGAGTAAGCTTTTAGACTCTGTCTTACCTGTGCACCTCCAGCATCTAATGTTCTATAACAGATTCCCAAGGTCTGCAAAGGTCCTGGGCATAGGGGAAGGGATGTCATCTGCCAGAGACACAGGGTGTGTGACACTGTAGGTGGCCTCTAGTTTCTAAGCCAGCGGCCACCTCTTTGTCCCAGGGCGGATGTGACTTTTTACCCAATGTGATGCAGAACCCGGGCTTTACCATCTGGGAAATGAGGAAGGATTGGGGAGCAGTGGGCAGAAATGGATCTTTCTGTCCTCATCCTCATTGTGGTTGTGCTGAAGTTGGGAAACTGAGTGTGTGGAGGAAGGTTCTAGAAGGTGGGTGTCTCAGCCCCTGGGAGAGTAGCTGCAGGAAGAATTTAATCAGAGTCTTCTAGGGAAGGAGGGAGGTGGGGTGGAGAAGCTTTCGGTAGGCTCTGAGAAAGTGCTGTGCCAGGCCCCTCACCAGGACAGTGGTTCAGCTCCCCCATGGCTGGTTGGGGATGGGGCGGATGAGAAGGCCTCAGCTTCCTTCCTGCTCTGCTCTCATGATGTTTGAGGAGGTCAGCTTTCTATTTTTATAGCTCTTTTTATTTTCTTTTTTCTGTTTATTTTTTTAATTTTTAATTTTAAAGATGTGGAGTCCAATTCAGGGTTAGGTATATAAATGTTCATTATGCAAGTACCCTTGTTGATGAGGTGTGCCCCCCCCCACTACTGCCAATCCCTTTTTTATGTATAAGTATGATAATCATTCAAGGTCCGCTTATGAGTGAGAATATGTGGTACTCAGTTCTTTGTTTCTGTGAGAGATCCCTCAGTTTTATAGACTCTAAGTTTGTCCCAAGTTGCTGTGAAGTTCATAATTTTGTCTTTCTTTATGGCTGCATAATATTCCTTCATGTATATATACCACATTTTTTTTTATCCAGTTCGCTTTCAATGGGCAGCATGGTGGGTTCCATATTTTTGCTGTTGTAAATAATGCTGCACTAAACTTAGATGCGTGTGCAGTTATCTTTTTCATCGAGTGATTTGAGTTCCTCTGGGTATATTCCCAGTAGGGGGATTGTGGGGTTGTATGGAAAGTTGAGTTTTAGATCTTTTAGGAAGAGATCAGCCTTCTGTGTCAATTTCCTGGGGCTGCCATGACAAATGACCACATGCTGGGTGACTTAAAATGACAGAAGCATATTCTCTCACAGGTCTGGAGGCCAGAAACCCAAATTCAAGGTGTGGGCAGGGTTACTTTCTTCCTAGGCTCTGAGGGAGAATGTCCCAGGCTTCTCTCTCTCAGCTTTTCTTGGTGCTGGCATTCCTTGGGATCCCTTGGCCTGTAGCCACGTCACCCCAATCTTCACACAGTGCTGTCCCCCGTGTGTCTCTCTGTCTCTTCCTCTCTTCTTATAAGGACACCAGTCATATTGGACTAGGGCTCACCCTCATCCAGCGTGACCTCATTTGTAAAGACCCCATTTCCAAATGAAGTCACAGTCCCAGTTACCAGAGATTAAGACCTGGGCATATCTTTTGGAGGGACACAATTCAACCTGTAACACTGTCTTTTCTTCTCCTCCTTTAGACAACAGTCCTGAGACACGGGCTAAAGTGAAATTTGTCCAGGACACTTCCAAGTATTGGTACAAGCCTGAGATCTCCAGGGAGCAGGGTGAGTGCTGGCCTCTGATGGACCTCAGAGGTCATAGCGGGCTGAGGCCTGCCACGTCTTCTCAGGCAGGGACCAGAGGCACACTTGATCCTCTTTGCAATAGGTGGTGGTCACAGAGAGGGGGCTGGGATCAAAGTCAGATGGTAGGACCAGGCGCAGTGGCTCAAGCCTGTAAACCCAGTACTTCCGGAGGCCAAGGCGAGAGGATTGCCTGAGCCCACGGGTTCGAGACCAGTCTGGGCAGCCTGGTGAGACCTTGTCTCTACAATAAATAAAAAAATTAGCTGGGCATGGTAGTGCATGCCTGTAGTTCTGGAAGACTAAGGTGGAAGGATCGCTGGAGCCCAGCAGGTCAATGCTGCGGTGGCCGCGAGCATGCCACTGCACTCCAGCCTGGGAGACGGAGTGAGATTTCAACTCCAAGAAACAAAAACAAAAAGTCAGATGGTACGAAGCACTCCCCATGGCAAAGTGTGGGATGGCAGAAGCAGTGGTTGTAGATGCCCCTTGGAAGGGTCCTTAAACACAGCAAAGCCTCGGTTTTCCTGGGACAAGTAAAAGGTTGGCAAAGATAATATAAAAACTTAGCTCTGTCTGCACATGTGGGAGATGTTTGTATCTTACAGCGAAAAAACAACTCCGTTCTCATGGGGAGTGTGTGTGGCTGTGGGTGGGGTCGGCAGCTGCAGCCCGCGGGTCAGATCTGGATGCTGCTTGCATCTGTAGATGAAGTGATGAAGTTCTGTCAGGGCACGGCCACCCCCATCAGCCTACGTCCTGTCTGGCTGCTTCCGTGCTGCAGTGTGGAGTGGAGTAACTGCAGCAAGGACCATGCAGCCCACCAGGCCTAAATGCTATTCTCTGGTCATTTACAGAGGGAGTTTTGCCGACCCAAGTTCAGGAGTACCCTCAGGAGTGTTGAACTCTAATTGTAGCGAGTGTCGTCTCACCTAAGAGAGAGTGAAGTTTGACAGGCCTGATGACACCTAAGTCAAGTCAGTGCCACCCATGTCTTGTTTCCTCTTCTCTTCTTGTCCCTTCCCAATTCAGCCATCGCGCTCCTCAAGGACCAGGAGCCAGGGGCCTTCATCATCCGCGACAGCCACTCCTTCCGCGGGGCCTATGGGCTGGCCATGAAGGTGTCTTCGCCCCCTCCGACCATCATGCAGCAGAATAAGAAAGGTAAGCACCTCTTCCAGAACGGTTCTCAGGATGAGGTGACCTTACAGTCACTAAGCCCTGAGGTGATGGAAGCCGTGAAGGACGTTGCTCTCATCAGACTCATCTGAAGAGTGAGTCTCGGGTGTGGTGATGGTTGGGGTCAGAGGCTGGGGAAGTGGGACTCTTAAGCCTCGGCCTCGAGTTTCCTGAGGTGTGGCAGGGGGTGGGGTCTCTCTGTTCCATGGGGTTCCAGCCATGCATGCTGTCTTTGGCCCTTCCTTCTGTGTGGCCCAGCAGGCTGGAGAAGTTATGAGGCAGTCTTGGAAGGTGTTGGGAGCTATGAGAAGTGACCTCCCCTTGTTTCTTTCTCTCCCCTCCAGGAGACATAACCCATGAGCTGGTGAGGCATTTCCTGATAGAGACCGGGCCCAGAGGAGTCAAGCTCAAGGGATGCCCCAATGAGCCAAACTTCGGTGAGCTGTCCCCCTGTCCGTCTCTACACATTGATCCCAGAGTCTCGGCCCTGTCTCAGGTTCCTTCAGGGGTCTGACCCCAAGTTCTTTCCACTGCAGACTCTACTAGTCTCCTTGTTGTAGACTCAGCAGAGAAAGTGAACAGTGGCATCTGTCCTTCTGTGGTGTGGCCCCTTAACTCTGCCGAATTTCTTGTTATCTGTCCTACCCAGCTGAGACTTATTATAATTGGAGTAACAATTATTGCAGCAGATGCTTTATTGACCACCTACTATGTGAAAGTCACTAAGTACCTTCTATTATTTCTGTTCTCACAACCACTTATTATAATAGGTGTCATCGCCTCTGTTTTACACACAAGGAAACTGAGGTTCACCAACGGTATACTTAAGAACACAGATAATAAGTGACTGAGCTGGGATTTGATCCCACAATTCTCTGTCCCTTTTTTGCACTCTTCTGGGAGGGACCCTGATAAGAGGGACTTACAGGAGACATTAGGGGGAGCTTTCTGCAAAGAAAAATTGTTAGGTAACTTTATGACCAGTAGAGTGAGTCCTTGGAGCCTTCTTCCTTGGATCTTGTTTAAAAAGGCCGGTGGGCTCAGTGGCTCAGCCTGTAATCCCAGCACTTTGAGAGGCTGAGGTGAGTGGATTGCCTGAACCCGCGGGTTCGAGACCAGCCCTCATTTCTATAATAAATCAAAAATGAAGCCGGGCTCGGTGGCTCAGCCTGTAATCCTGCGCCTTTGGGAGGCTGAGGTGAGTGGATTGCCTGAGCCCACGGGTTCGAGACCCACCTGGGCAACTTGGCGAGACCTCATCTCTACAATAAATCAAAAATTAGCTGGGTGTGATAGCGCACGCCTGTAGTTCCAGCTACTCGGAAGGCTGAGGCGGAAGGATCGCCGGAGCCCAGCAGGTCGAGGCTGCTGTGGCCGGGAGCGGCCACTGCACTCCAGTCTGGGTGACAGAGTGAGATTCCAACTCAAAATAAATAAATAAATAAATAAATAAGTCAAAAATTAGTCAGGCGTGGTAGCATACACCTGTAGTTCTGGCTACTTGGAAGGCTGAGGCGGAAGGGTCACCAGAGCCCAGCAGGTCGACGCTGGGGGGGCCGTGGGCCTGTATGCCACTGCTTTCCAGCCTGGGCGATGGAGTGAGACTCCAACTCAAAAAAAAAAAAGAAAAGACCAGGGAGGTGGGGAGATTAATTTTCAGCTTTAGTTGGAGGGTTGCGGGAGAGGGAATAAAGTAGCAGAACATTAAGTGCAGCAGGGTGGGGTGGGGGTTTCCTCACGGCCCCTGTCCCCCTCCCGGCTTCCACTGCCACTGCCCCTGATGTGCCGTCTTCTTCCCTGCAGGCTCTCTGTCTGCCCTGGTCTATCAGCACTCCATCATCCCGCTGGCTCTGCCTTGCAAGCTGGTCATTCCAAACCGAGGTAGGAATGTGAGACTCCTTGCACACCGAGCTCACCCTGAGCTGGCCTCCGTCATGGCCCAGCCCGGCCAGCTACTCCAGACATGGGCCAGGGTTGGAGGATGTGGGCCATTTTGCCAATCTGGAGAAACTCAAAACTCTCCTTTTTTTTTTCTATTAAAAAAAGAAAAAGAAAATGTTCATTTAAAAGCATAACTCCAGGAACACACATAAATTGATTTGTCGGGTTGTTCTGGAAAATCCTCTGGAGACTTCAAGAAGTTCATACTGAACTCAGACTAAGCCTCATCCCAGGGGAGGCATTAGAAGTAGGAGACAGTCAGGAGAGGATGGTGTCCTGGAGAATGAGATGGGCATCGATGGGCATCGATGGGAAGAGGAGGGGAGGCTGACTGAGGTGTTGGAAGTGTTGGTCAGGATGGAGAGGAAAGAGGAAGGGGAAATTCCAGATGTCCCTGTAGTTTCTAATCTGTGTGGCTGGGAGGGCGTTCCCTGAGGTTGGGCCTTTGGGGAAGAACAAGTCCTCTTTCGGTTGTGGGAAGTTTGAGAACCCAAGAACATGAGGACACACAGGATGAGGATTTGAGGGGGTTAGCGTGGCTGGGAGCGAGAGTTTAGCACCTCTCCTAGAGGGGTGCCAGCCCTGGAGGATGGCGGGTGAACACCCAGAACCCTCCACATAGGTTTTTATCGCCCAGGTTCCAGGCACCCCTCCAAGCACACAGAGCTTACCTGGGGGTAACACTGCCTGGCCCCCATGCAAGGTGTAGGAGCCAGGAGCTGGGCTGCCACCTTCCCACTTTCTCTGTCAACAGTAGGGCCATAGGAAGTGCTCCTACCTGGCCCTGGGTCTTTTTGCGTTCTCTCCTGGAGCTCCTGGGGTTATGCCTCCACATAAAACCTCCAGTACTATTAGACTCTTTTTATTTATCCAATTTAATTCTTTGAATTATTAATAACTGACCAGCATTATTGGCTTAAAAGTTCACATGCAATCTAAATAGCATTATTAACCACATAATTTAGACACTAATTGAATTACGCTTCTACAGAATTTATTATAGTAGTTCAGCAGTTCAAAATCTGTTTGATATTGTATAAACCAGCGGTTCTCAAAGTGTGGTCCCCAGAGGGCAGCATATTCATCTCCTGGGAACTTGTTGCAAATGCAAATATTCCCAAGCCCCACCTACTCAGAGACTCTGGGTGGGACCCAGCAATCTGTGTTTTAACAAGTCTGTACACCAAAGTCTGAGAAACACTGGTATAAACGGTACTCAATTCTTATTTTTTCCCTGGTTTTCTTTTTTTAAAGTAAGTTATAGTTGACAAGTAAAAGTTGTATTATGGGCTGGGTGCGGTGGCTCATGCCTGTAATCCCAGCACTTTGGGAGGCCGAGGCAAGCAGATTGCTTGAGCCTAGGAGTTTGAGACCAGCCTGGGCAACATAGTGAGACCTCACCTCTACAAAAAAATTTAAAAAAAAATTAGTCAGGTGTGGTGGCACACACTTGTAGTCCCAGCTACTTGAGATGCTGAGGTGGAAGGATCGCCTTAGCCCAGGAGGTTGAGGCTGCCATGAGCTGTGACAGTGCCACTGCACTCCAGCCTGGGCAACAAAGTGAGATTCCTAACTCAAAAAAAAGTTGTATTATGTACAGTATACAACAAGATGTTTTGATAGTGTGTGTATATTATGTATATATATACGTTGTGAAATGGTTAGGGCCAGTTGATGTATCCATCACTCAATTCTTATTCATATTAAAATTATAATGTTGCATCAATGGTTTAATGAATTAGAGGAACTAGGGCATTTATTAATCTACACAAAGACCCATCAATGCAAAACAACAACAGCAACACCAGTTGCCACTTGAAAGCTTGCTTTGTGCTAAGCACTGGATTAAAAACTACATGGGATGTTTCAAAAACCCAGTGACAGGGGTACCATTATCATCCTCTTTATTTTATAGACACTTAGCAAGTGCTAGGGTGGGGGTTTGAGCCCAGCTCTGCTGGACCCTAGAGAGCTCAAGCCATGGGCTGGATATTTGAAAGTAATCATGGACCATTCATACTGACCCAAACACAGGGCTGATTGCCAGTGCCTGTTATGAAAAGCGGTGCCCTTTGCACAAGGTATTTGCAGCACTCGCCTTAGGCCCAGCCAAACTTGTGCTTCTTTCCAGCTCTGGGGTTTTAATTCCAGCCGAATTTTTGTCTCAGACCCCACAGATGAATCGAAAGATAGCTCGGGCCCTGCCAACTCAACGGCCGACCTGCTGAAGCAAGGGGCAGGTAAGTGGTCACCTGAGCCTGGATCCCTGCCCAGGCCTTTCTTTCCACCTTCTTCTCCTGATCCCTCCTGCAGGTGCAGGCTGGAAGTCTCTCTCAGCCCCAAATGCCTCTGGGCAGATCACATTTCTATGTACAGATGCTTCGGCCCGAGGCTAGCTTGAAATTCATCTGCTGCCTTCTCCCTAGAGAGTAGACTTGGGGTCTTAACTCCTCCTCCCCAGCCCCCATGACTCCTCCTTGGGTTGACTTCTTCCAGCCTGCAATGTGCTCTTCGTCAACTCTGTGGACATGGAATCACTCACCGGGCCACAGGCCATCTCCAAAGCCACATCTGAGACGTTGGCTGCTGACCCCACACCAGCTGCCACCATCGTTCACTTCAAGGTCTCTGCCCAGGGAATCACTCTGACTGACAACCAGAGAAAGTAAGACTTCCCTACCTGCTTCGGTGTTGGGCTCTCCTTCCTGTGACCCATCTATTTACCCACTTACCCGCCCATTTACCAGTTGATTCATTTTTGCACCTATCTACTCACCCTACCACCCACCATCTCTCTTACATCCATCTTCTATCTACCCAGCTACTTATCCTTCCTTCCATCTGTCTGTCCATCTGTTCATTCATTCATCTGTCCATTCACTCATCTATTCATCTGTCTGTCCATCCAACCAACCATCCATCCATCCATCCATCCATCCATCCATCCATCCATCCATCCATCCTTCTGAAATATGAGGATTTACCTGCATTTGGGTATACAACTGTGAATACAACAGATAGAAAGTACCTGCTTTCTAGGAGCAGAGCCCTTCCTCTTGGTCTCTTTCTTAACAGTGTCCTCAGCCCCCTTCCTTCCTTCTCCACCCCCTAACCCCCTCTCTCATTCCCTAGTGTCAATTTCTTCTTTCCTTCCACAGCTCTAGCATCTGAGAAGTGTTTCTCTGGCACATCTGTCTGTCTCTGTGCACACTTAGGGCCCCAGTGTGAGCAGCTCAGGCCATTTTGCTCATAAGTGAGACAGTCAGAGGGTGAAAGGTGGTCTGACCTACAGTGGAATGAGGGAAAATCAGTCACGTCAACACTCATTCTGTTTATCTGATGTCTGTGCCACAGGCTCTTCTTCAGACGACACTACCCCCTCAACACTGTCACCTTCTGTGACCTGGATCCACAGGAAAGAAAGTAAGTTTCTATAGATGCCTTCCCTCCCACCTGGCCCTCTAACACGGAAGTCTGTGTGCGAGTGTGTGTGTGTGTGTGTGTGTGTGCGCGCGTGTGCGTGTGTGTGTGTGTGTTTATCTTCTTGGTTCTCCTGGTAGATCTGCCTGTGTATGAGCAACTGTGATGGGCATCTTCTGAGTCTTTCTCATCACAGATGTGGAGACCAAGGACTCAATGCCCACTTCCACTCCTCCACTATGCCTTTGACCTTGAATCTGCTGCTTCTCTCCACATTGGGGGGAGCACCGTGGGAGGCAGGCCACCGTGTTCTCTCCATCTTGAATGTTCCCCTGCATGAGCTTGAGAGGCTCGTGTCCCTTGAGATCAGGGCTCCTCTGCCTTTCCCCAAAAGGGCTGGGCATGGGCAGACTGGGCTCCAAGGAGAAGGTCTAGTGACTTACCCTGAGCTGTCCTTCTCTCCACAGGTGGATGAAAACAGAGGGAGGCGTCCCTGCTAAGTAAGTGTGGCTTCTTCACTCCCACCCGGCTGGCTGGCCATGGTGCTCCATGGTGAGGGGAGCCAGGATGGGTTTAGAATCCAGGACCAGCGGGTGGGGAATGAGTAGCAAGAACCTTTGCACTGAGGTCATTCAGCTTTGAAGAAGAGCTTGGCCAGGCGGCCAGACCTTTTACCTTGTCCTTTACGACCAAAGGTCCAGTCTCTGGACCTTCCCTCCCCAGGACCAGAGCCAGCAGGGATCTGAGGAAGTGGACAGGAAACAGTTTTATTGTCAACAATGGCAGTGGGGCAGGGATTGTTAAAATATCTTTTCTGCCCAAATCCTGGTTACTTTTATTTCTGTTCTTGCTTTTTTGGTGGACTTCTGTGAGTCTTGTGTCTGGGCTGGACCTCCTCATGAGAATGTGGGAGCCCGGAAAGTCTAAATTCTGGGCTGGTCTTGGGACCTTTGGGTTGATTTCTCCATCCACTGAGCATATCCTAAGTGCCTCTGAGCAACACTGACTCTGCCCTCTGGAGACCCCTTGGCACAGCAGCTAAGACAAATGTATAAACAGCACTAAGGTACTTCTGTGGTTTTCAAACTGTGGTACAAAGAATCCCAGGATCCTTGGATTGTAACTCAGCTTTTCAGATGGGAGGGGAGACCTTGCTACTATTTGTGGTTGTTTATCAGTATGAACCGGAGTCTGCTCAATATCACACAACCAAAGCAAAGTATAGGAAGAACCTGGCATCTGAAACTGACATACGACCATCACCATGATCTGTCGTTCACACTTCACTTTGTTGGGCTCATCCCAATAGCTCCATTATCCTCACTGATTGACTTTAGCATAGGCAAGTGTCGTGCTTTTGAATTGAGAGGCTTATAGCCATAAAATACTGCTTTTGCCTTTACGTATTTGGACTTCATACAAGATTGATTAAAAAAAAACTCACTGTTAAGAAAAATGACAGTGGCTGCGGGGGGAGACGTGGCAGGAGGGTATGGCTCACATCTGCGGGTGCTCACGCAGGGGGGCGCATCTAGGCAGGGTGAGAGTGGGAGACAGCAGATGCATAAGAATGGATCTTAAAAGATAGGCGCGATTTGGACAGGTCAAAAATGAAGGTGGGAGTTGGAGGGGGACTATTTTGGGCATGGGGGCTCATAGCCACCAGAAAGCAAGCTCCCTGTGGGCAGGGCCCTGTCTGGTGCATGAGAAGGCTGGTACATCCTTATTGGACAACGGTGTGAGAGAAGAGAGGCTGGGAGGAGAGTCAGGACGAGGCTAGCGATGCCACCTCAGGCAGAATGAATGGGACTGACTGGTCAACTGTTGAGGAATCAGCATTGGGGGCTTCGTAGAGGCCACGAGGGATGGAGGGGACCCCAGGCTTTCATAAGGGTATCAGAGCCTGGGTCCCTGTGTCTCCTCTTGCCTCTACCAGCCAAGCGCTTTGTGTTTGAAGTGTTCATGCTCATTCACCTCTAGGCCCTGCCAGGGGGAGGGGGTCAGGGACAGAGGACAGGCTGGAAATCCCTCTTTTCTTCCTTTAGGCTGAGCTTCTGACTGAAGAGGCTTTGGTGGGTAGGGGAGAGGCAGCAGGGAGTGGGTGTGGTGGAGTGGGAGATGGCAAGGCAGCCAGGTGCCTCGGGTGCAAAATTTCAGGAGGCCTAAGCTGTCAGGATCTTGCAAGTGCCTCCTCCCTGCCCTCTGCGGCTGAAGTTTCTTGCCTGGATCCACTCCTCCAGGTAGATGACGGGACTGGGCTATTGCTGACCTGGACCCTAGAGCCTTGGAGCCGCAACTGAAATCAATATCAGAGGAGGGCACGCCGGTTGTTTGGCGCAGGCGTGTGCTCAGGGCAGGCGCAGTTGGCTGGGTCTCCATCCTGGCAGATACCTGCAGCCAGGGCTGGCACGTCTCCAGACCAGGAGCTCGGAGACACTCTCTCCCTCTGCGCGCAGGGCCGGCCAACCTGGAAGGGGAGGTGCTGGGGGCTGCTCTCATCACCTGGGCATCACCCTAGGCCTTTGGCCCTGTTGTTGCTGGCCCCCGAAAACAAAGCTGGGAGAGCAGAGCTGTAGGCAATGCAGGGACGTGTGTGTCTACGTATGGAGGGTGGTGTACATGTTTATGTGGTGTGTGTGTGGAGGGTGGTATACGTGTGTTGTGTATGTGTGTGTGTATGATGTATATATATGCATGGCGTGTGTGTGGTGGTGAGTGTGTGGAGGGTGGTGTGCCTGTGTGCACTGTATATGTGTGTAGGGTGTGTATGTGTGTGGTGGTGCTGGTGTGTGTGTGTGTGAGTGTGTGGTGTGGGTGTGTGTGCAGTGCTTGTGTGCACACATCGCCAGAACCTATTTTGGCTAATTTTAGCTATTGTGGTCCAGTCCTAGGGAAAGGGGCTTCCATCGGAATCTCCAGCTGTCCTGGTTTCCCCATCTCACCCTAATTAGCAACATGCTGGCTGGGAGAGCTCACATTCTTTTCTCTGCCTTCACATTCTTAACTTTGTTTTGCAAAGAGAGAATGCTCAGTCACTCGGGTTGTGGTGCAGGTGGGGTGGGAGCGTGTGAGGGTCTACCTTCCCCTTTCGTCCTCTGGGCTTCCAAGACTCTTGATCCCAGAAAGAATAAGTGTCGGGGTGGGGGGGAGATGGAGGTGCGTGTGTGATTGCCTTGTCCCTTTGTCTCCCTGACCTTGTGGTGTCTAGGGAGGTCGGGCCTTTTGCAGACAGACGCATTTCTTTCTTCGCCTATGTGTTGTGTGTAGGAGCAGTCGGCAGGGGTGGGGTTAGGCTGGGCAGGAGAGAAGCCCAGCTAGGAATGTTCCCATTTTATTTTAGTCTCTTCCCCACCCTTCACTATCCAGTCTTGTCACTCACCTCCAGCTCCCCTCCCACCTCTCACTGGGGGATTTCTACCCGCCCTGAAATAAGGCAGGACACTGTCTCCAAGACTTGGCTTGGCAGCCAGCGGAGTGAAGAGAGGATTGTCTCTCATGCACCTTCCCCAGCGCCTGTGGCTCTGGAAGGCTGGAGGGATGGGGAGAGAGATTGACCTGAGACCAGCTTGCCCACCTGGGCTGCATCCAAGGCCTGGGGTTCCTTCTGCTCTCCCCTCATGCCCTTTGCCCTCTCCTGCCCCTACAGGCTCTTCGGCTTCGTGGCCCGGAAGCAGGGCAGCACCACGGACAACGCCTGCCACCTCTTCGCGGAGCTCGACCCCAACCAGCCCGCCTCTGCCATTGTCAACTTCGTCTCCAAGGTTATGCTGAGTGCCGGCCAGAAGAGATGAGCACCACCCTTGCCCAGGGCCAGTGCCGCGAGATGGGGCACGTGGGGAGGGGACCCATGATTCCTGACCACTCTTGAATCCAGAAGGAGGACTTTGGGCCAATTTCAGAGAAGGAGAGAAGAAAGTGCAACGTGGGGAGAGGGAAGTGAATTGCAGAGGGTGGGGGGAGAGGGAAAGAGAAGGAAGGAAAAGATGGAGGAGAAAAACTCGGATTCCCCTGGGTAGATGGGAACTGCGAAAACCCAAAGCCTCCGGAGCTAACCAGGTCCACCTAACTCCCCCTCCCCTGGGAGAAGAGACAGAGCTCCTTGGGGATCCACATTTTGGGGGGATGGAAAAGCTTTGTCTCCCTAACCCAACTGCTTTGTGAGGAGAAATCCAGCTGGGAGAATTTTTTCTTTCTGGCCACCTGTAGGGTAGGTTGGCAAACCAAACAGAGCCAGCGGGGCACATCACGTGGGGAACTTGTTCTTTTGAAAGTATCTGAGACCCGAGGCACGTCAGGTCTCTTTGCTATGCCTTCCATGCATTGCTGTGTGGGTGTCTCTGTGTCTGCACCTACATCCTCACACGTTGATTTATATCTGCCTCTACCTGCTAGAATCGTAGACAGCCATACTTCTCTGTGTCCCATGTGTTTGCATATACACATGCTCACTGTCCAAAGAAGGTCAGGGCATCAGGGAGAGACAGGTGTCTTCCTCCTCACAAGCACCCAGCTGTGGGTAAGAGACTGTCTGCAGACTCTGCACCCGCGCTCTAGTGGCCTTGGGTCCCACCAGCCCCTTCTCCTCTATGAAGACCCAGGCAGGAGGGGTGGGGGCGGGGTAGCCCAGCAGCGTTACCTGGCCATTCTGCCTTGCCCTGGAGCCTGGAGCTTAGGTTTGAGGAGGCGGACATATGTGTGTCCATAGCCTAGCGGAAGGGATCTGTGGGGAAGGTGGCTGTTGGGCTCGGGCCTCTTCTCCAGGATGTGTGGCTCAGCCGCAAAGGAGGCCAATTGCTCCCGCCTGTGCCCTGGGCTCTACCTTGGCTCCCACCTCTCAGCCTCATTCTTGGGTTTCATGCCCCAGGACCCGCCTTAATCTCCCTTGCTCATCTTCATGATGCCTTCTGGGGGCTGGGGATTGAGCCTCGATGCTCCGCCCGGCCCTATTCTGCAGGGTCCCCGCGTTGGGGTCCGTTCCCTGGTGAGGCCTTGCTCGGTGAGGCCTGGGGAGAAGCCGGTAGCCCTTACTCTCTCCTCTGTCGGGAACCCTCCTGACATCAGCAGAGCTTCTAGGGCTGTGCACCACACAGCCTACCTACCATGCCAAAGCCTCGCTGTTACCCTTTCTGCCTTGGTTTTCCCAGCTGAGCCCTGCTGCCCCTGGAGCAGAGGGCAGAAGGCTTGCGTTTAGGCCAGAGGGCCCAGGGTTCATTCGGGCAGTTGGAAAACCCCCAGCCACCACCCAAGGACTCTAAGCTGGAGTGGAAAATTCACCAGGACTCCATTCTTAAGCCCGGGGGTTCCAGAGAGAGAAGCATTGTACTGATATATAAATATATATAATATATTCATGACACATACTGACAGAATAGAATCTGTAAGCTAACAAAATATAAGAAAAGGTTAAAAAAAAGAATAGGTAAATTGACAAGAAGTATTTATTGTTTTTTCCCATACTGCTTTATTGCCTTTCTGGGGCACAAACCAATTCCCATCCCCTTTTATACATCTAAGCAAAAAATGAAATGTCGGGGGCCTCTGTCCTCAGAGCAGCCAGGAGTCTCCTCGCCCTAGCCTTGGCCTTCCTTACACCCTGCATGGGGCCCATGGGGCGGTTGCACATGTTTCACCCCTTTGGCCCCTTATTTTCCGGTGTGCCAGGGTCCAGCCGTCAGCCCCCAGGCTGCACGGGGGAGCTGCCCTGTTGCCTGGTTCTGAGCGAGTGTGTGAGCGGTGCGGGGATGTGGGTGTGTGTGGCACACGTGGTTGTGTGTGCATCTTTTGTACGTTTTTCTCCTCCAGGGAATTGTATTGGTGTGGACATTCTGTTTAGGGAGTTGGAAAGGGGAGTCGTCTGAAGAAGGTGGGGAACGGCCCCCACTGCTTCCCAAAGAGTGAAACCTTGTGCTTGGTGACTGAGGTCCCTCCAAAGTGCTCTTCCTTCTGAGATATTCAAACCAAATACCTAGATTCCCCACCCCCACCCTCATTCCCTAGTTAGCCCCAATTCTCTTCCACCCTAGGAGACATTTCCCATCCCCTTCCTTTGTAAATATCTTCATCTCCCACCGGGCAGCCCCGGGGAGCCTCCTCCTGGCTGAGTGTTCTCCCCACACCTGAGGCTGGGTGGAGCACCAGACCCTTTGGCTGCCTGAGTCTAGGGTCAGCCTTCACACTCGCTTCCCCACTGCCCACCAGAGCCCACCTTCCAGGCATGGCCAGCCCCTCCCTTCCAGGCCTGAGCCACGAGTGACCCTGCAGGAGGGCCCAGGCCCATGCTGGGAAGCTGGTGACACTCCCAGCATCCCTGTGGAAGGAGTCAGTTCCTGAGAGTTTGGTCTTTCCAGGAGAACGATGGGGAAGGGACCCCCAGTCTCCACTGGGGCCCACCTTTGCGCCCTACCCCAGCGCCCTCCTGTGTCTCACAGGGAGGCCGTGCACCCGTGCACACACCTATGCACACACACCACTCAGCACTGCAGTATATTCTTGCCAAAGATTTCCTTTAAAAGAAAGCACTTTTACTAATGATTGTTATTATTTTGTAAATGTTTGTCCTCTTCTGTCCTCTCCCTCCCCTCACCCTGTTTTGCTGTTGTTTAGTGTTGAGTCTGTTTGTCAGCCCGGGAGAGTGCTGCCTGGTCTTGAACACGGGATAGAGTGGGGGGGAGTCTAGGAGAAGATGGTTAAGAAAGAACAGGAGCGTTGTGGCCATCAGGGATGCAAACCCAGCCAGATGCCCCAGCCCCAGGCCCATGCTGTCCCTAGCCGTACATCCAGGTGTCTGCGGCCAACCTGGGGCCTTACCCTGGCTGGCCTATATGGTCAGGAGGCAGAAGGATGGGGCGGAGAAGCGAGGAGAGGGACCCAGGGAGTCCCATGTGGCTCCTCCCAGGAAGAGCAGCAGAGGGATCGGGCATGGGAACAACCCACAGGTGACCCCAGAGGGAAAACAGGGAGGAAGTGAGATGCGTGATCAACCTCCAGGGGTGTCTGAAGCCACCCTGCTGTCACGGTGTCCCGGAGTCCTTAATTAGCCAGGCTCTTGAGGGACAGATCCATCACGTCCTAGGACTGGGGAAGGCCTTTGGGCCATCTCTGAGGCTTTCCCCCAGCAGTTCTGAAAGCTTGTGGACATCGACAGCCAGGATTTCTTCTGCTTTCGTTTTTGAGAAATCACTGAGTGTGTCTGAGACAGGCCAGGGTAGGGGTGGTGGGGCCTGGTGGCCGTGTGACAGCAAGCGGGGACAGCCTACTGGACAAGTGTGACCGTTCTATTAAGGACTTTCAGGAGGGAAGTGAGTTGAGAATTCCTCCGCTCCTGATGGGCCTGAGCAGGGGCTGAACAGGCTCCTCGCCTGTCCAGGGGGCCGCAGAGGTGTCAGCAGGAATGATTGATGTCTGTCCTTCCTTTTGACCACCGTCCCTGCCTTCTGTGTCTTCTCCCCCTTCCAGTTCTTTCCCAGCCTCAGGACCTGGGGAGATAAATTAGGTCGATACCCCATCCAAGGGAGGCAGCCCACCCATCCCTATGCCCACACTCAGGGGCCTTGAGAGAGAGAGAGAGAGAGAGAGAGAGAGAGAGAGAGAGAGAGAGAGAGTGTGTGTGTGTGTGTGTGTGTGTGTACACACGCACACGCGGGTGTGGATGTATGTGTGCACATATCTTGCTCATCTCTTTCGGGAACTTGGGTTTGGGGTTCAGAGGTGGTGGACAATGGGACATCAGGCTCAATGTCATCCAGCAGCGAACAGCATTGGGAGGCCGGGCATGCGGGGCCACTGGCTGGTGGGGTTTTGGCACTGGCCGTGGTGAGGGTCAGACCACGTGGGGGGCCCAGGCAGCCCTATTTCTTCTTGACTCAGCTGTCCTCGAAAGGTCGGAAGCCCTCTGCTGAGATCCCGCACCTGGGCTCTTTTCCCAACAGCGAAGTTATCGTAGAGGATGTCCCAAGTTTGCTTTGCGATTAGCGTTCAGCCAGTGAAGGCTCTCCGGGGTCCGCGTTTGGTTTGCATGTGTGAGAGCGCACGTCGGTGCGTGCATGCCGTATCTCGTCTCTCTCCTTCCTTCTCATCTGTTGTTCAGAACAAATGCAAGGACTTCCTGATCACCACCCGCCCTGTCTCCCAGGCCCCCGAAGGAAACACAGAATAGCTCAGCGTCCTCCCCACCCCTGGCTGTGTATTTATATAGATGGAAATATACTTTATATTTTGTATCGTCGTGCCTATAACCTCTGCCACCTTGTATAAATCCCGATGTATGCTACTTGTCCCGGATATGAATGTATTGTACACTGACGCTGCCCCCACTCCTGTACAGCTACTTTGTTTCTCTGCGATCCATTGTATGGCTTTATAAATGATAAAGTTACAGAAAAACCTGTGCCGTCATCTGTCTGTGTTGTTTGGACAGGGGTCTGCCGTGGCTCCAGCAGGGGCAGAAAGGGGCCTCTCCCAGGAAGCAGGTGGGCTCCTGCGGTGCCTCAGGTGGTCCACTCACCCTAGATCCTCCCAGCCCCTTCCCCGGCATCCAGATCTTGGTTCTGGTTACCCGTGTCATTTATCTGGACTCTCAGCTGGAAGAGAATCTCAACTCAAACTCTTTTAAGAAGAGGGGGAAGAAAAGCAAAAAAATAAGTTTATTGGTCCAAGTGCCTAAGAAGTCCAGGCATAGCCGGATTGAAGGGTTTGGATGGAAGAATCAGGAATTTGTTCCCAGCACTTGGTTCTGAGTTGGCCTAATTCTCAGAAAGTTCTACCAAGGGTGGAGCAGACTTTCATTCTGCTGGCTTGGTAGCCCTAGTAGAAGAGGGCTCTTTGCTCCCAGTGTCCTCAGCAAAATCCTGGGACTTGTGGGTCATTGGCTCTGATATCTCCTGCTTGGCTCGTGTGGTTAACTTGGAACCAGTCACTCTACGGATCTGGGTCACATGGCTGCCTCTGGAGCTTCCTCAGACCACGGGGACTGGGGATGGGGGAGCAGTCGGTCCCTGGAGGGGTGAGGCTTGTCAGAGACAGGGGAACAGAGGCTGTCGGGCAGCCTCTACCAGGGCCCACCGGGTGGCATGTGTGTAGCTGATGCCTTCACGGGTCCTGGGGGTCCTGGGTGAATTCGGTGGAAATCGGAACATTTGGGTGTAGTACCTACTGATGGTGCCTAGTGCAACACAGGGGTTTCTGGGAGGTCCAAAACACTCAGGAGCATGGCTCCAGCTCTCCATGGAGCTCCCAGCGTGGCTGCAGGAGGCTCGAGTCTTCTGACTTGCCCTCCCTCGGGTCAACACCATCCTCCCACCGCAGGGAGACCTCCTCAGACATGTGGGTCTCAGGACTTCTTTTCGCTCCCAGTTATTATTCAGGACCCCAAGACGGGCTGGGTCTTTGGATCTTTACCAGAGTATCAATTAAATCTGAGAACATTTAAAAATATTTATGAATCCGCTTTCATGATAATACATTCATCACATATAAATCGCATCTTTATGCCAAAATAATGATATTTTCTAAAACAATAATGATTGGGTGCAAAGCATGACATTACTTGCATTTTTTTAAGGCCTCCCTTGTGTCTGGCTTTAGCAGACTGGAATCTCCTGTCTGCTTCTGTTGTAACGTCATATGTCTCTGGAAAACACTGCACACTTGTGAGAAAATGAACGAAAAACACCAAAGATGGCTTAATAGTATTATGAAAATAGTTTTGACCTCACGACACCCCTGAAAAGGTCTCAGGGACCCCCAGATCCCCAGACCATACTTTGAATCCTGCCGCTTCCAGGGAAGCGAGACTCGGGGACCGAGACCCTCGTGGTGGAGATGGAATATGGACCCGCTCCTGCTACCTGTGGGCGTCATTGTGCTGAGTCTTCCCAACGAACCCGGGCGGTAGATGCTGCTACACACAGGGCTAAATGAGGAAACTGAAGCTTATGGAGAGGTCACATGGCTCATCACTGGCAGAGCTGGCACTCGGCAGCGTCCTTTCGGGTGATGACGGCTATCCAGTCAACATTTGCTCAATCTATGCTAAGCCCTCAGTGTGTCTTCTCGTGTACGTGCACTCATGAGTGGATGGCTGTCCTTGTCCTCATTTTACAGAGGAAGAAACTGGGATTCAAAGAGGTGAAGAAATCAGAGCTGGACGATGAGGCAGAGCTGGGATGGGAGCCCAGGCAAGCTATGCCTCTTTCTCTGCCCTCAGGGCTCATTGGCTGGGGAGAGACTGACTCCGACAAGTGGTGGGCAGCTGAAGGACCAAACGGAAGTCACCGGCTGGCCCTCCACAGGGAGTGGACCAGGGCGCCTGGGCATGCGATCAGGGAGTCTAGGAGGTCATCCTCTGATGGGCCCAGCTGCAGAGGGAGTGGGTACCTCAGGGCCGGGTCTGGCACAGGGTGGAGCATCAGACGAGAGACACAGGCTAGGTGTGTGTGCTGGGTTGATGCAGTTGGCCTTATAGGGGATGCAGCGGTTCATGGGGGGGCCTGTTACTCCAGGGAGCAGGCAATGGACGGCTTGCAGCAGGAGAGCTTTGGGTGGGGAAGGACAGCTCCCCAGACATGACTTATTGCACAGAAGACCCAAAGGACCTTTGGTTTTTCTACACAAAGTGTAGCCCATGCACTGTCAACATCAGCATCACCTGATGCTTATTAGAAAGGCGGGACCTTTGGCCCTGCCCCAGGCCTGCAGATTAGAATCTATCTGCCCAGGAGCCTGAGACTGCCAGGAGAGGAGGCGGGGCACCTAACATCAATAAGGATACTTGATCTTTTTTGTTTGTTTGTTTGAGTTGGAGTCTCACTCTGTCGCCCAGACTGAAGTGCAGTGGCCGCTCCCGGCCACTGCAGCCTCGACCTGCTGGGCTCCAGCGATCCTTCCGCCTCAGCCTTCCTAGTAGCCAGAATTACAGGT